TCCTGAATGATTGTTCTGAAACTCTTGATTCTTATATCATTTTTATAGGAAACAATCTCATCTTTAATTCTAGACAAGGAAAAAAAACTTCGATTTTCGAATTCTGATTCAACTTCAATGTTTTCAAATTTCTGCAGTTTCGATTAAGAGAGAGTGTAAAATGAATGTACAGAGTGAAATCATATGAAATAAAACTTCCAAAAACATTCTATGATGAAATGATGAAAACCTCAAGTGAATTGTTGAAGAGTTATTACAGTTGTATTTTTACAGCTAACTTTTTGAAAACTCTGTACATATTGTCAAATGATCTTTTTCGATAATCCATTATATATATATATAAATTATTTACTTGAACATATGCTGAACAAAGTCCTAATTGTGATGGATTATTATTTGTAATTGTAAAAACAAAATTTGATGCATATGTATTATTATAATTAATTGGAATTGATAATGCAAATGGTGAACCTTGAGGAATTTGTAAACTTGAATTACTGATAGTACTAATTGTAAAAGGACCTGATCCACTCTAAATGAAATAAATAAAGAATTATAAATGTTTGAAAAAAACAAAAAAACTTTTTTTTTGTACGAACATTCGCAGCATTAGAAAAATTGAATAATGATTGACCAATCCATATTTCTGAAACATTATTATATTCAATACCAACAGTTACCCACTAGAGAAAAAGAAACAAATATTTAATTAAAAAGGTAAAAATTGAGATTTTATTTCATTTACATATTCAGCTCCATTGATTTGATAACTAGGATTACTAATAACAAGACTACGAAAAGAAATTGTAATTGTACTTTCTGTATCATTATATGGCGCAACCAGACCACTATTTACAACTGTTCCAAAATTAATACGAGCATTATCAAACTAAAGTATATATGTAATGATTAATATTTGTTGTGCAAAAAAGAAATGTTTTTTTTTTTTTGTATTTATACTTGAGACGTAGTCAGTTGTGATATCATCGTAATTGTTGGTTGATAAAGATTTCCTGAATTAAGAAAATTTCTACCGACATATGTTATACTAGGTTTTGACATTTGCATAACAGAAGTAGTATTATCAAGTAGGATGATTTCCACACTAAGATCAGTTGAAGGACTTGAACTATTCGATCCTACAATTGTTATTGTCACAATATGATCACAATAATCACCTGTATATAAAGTTATATTTAATAAAGAAATTATGGTTTGATAATACTTACCAACTCGAGCTACAATTGTTGAATTACAACCACCAACTTTGATATAGTCAATAATAACATTAGCATTAGCTGCATATGTTAATGGAATAACTTAAATAAAATTTAAAAAATGAAATATGTCAAGATCCATTTCTTATCGGAAATCATGATTTTCATTAAAAATTTCGATTTTGACGGGATTGGATAATCGTCAATGTCTAATATGATTTACCGGATTTATTATGGTTTTTTTTGACGGTTTGTTTTCTATACCATTTTATTAAGAAAGAAACTTGGATACCTAGGTCAAGTTTTATTGCGTGTTTTTCTGTTCTTGTGTCAAAAATTTCTCTACCGTTTTACATGCTAGAAAGTTTGGGAAGGGTTTAGATTGTAGAGAAAATGAAGTTCTGCAATTTAATTTCCATTTTCGACTTATTTTTTGAAAAAAAATATATATGTTTTTCGGTAGAAGCATCCTGATTTTTCGAATTTTTTGACAGAAAATTTCGTCAGAAGTAAAAAAACGATATTTTGAAATATTAGACTCTGTTGAGTTGTAGCGGCAGGTCTTGACTGCACTTAAAAGCCAACCTGAAATCTGTATCATTAGACTTAAAGAAGAAACCCTTGCCACACGGAAACCTAGATTTTTATAGCTCTCGAACAGATCAATATTTTCGGCTGAAGTTTTTATCATAAACTGTTAATGCTTGGACAAACATTCTCTGGAATCTTCCGTCAAATCGACTGTTCTAGGACAAAAATAGTTCTCTGACGGAGCGAAAGGGAGAGGTTAAGATGATTGTCACATATAAAATAGAATAAGATAATGAGGATCAAATCTTTACATTATTCAGATGTGACAATAGTTTGTTTAGAAAATTTAAGTTTTCATTTAATAATGAACAATTACTTGGAAGGAAAATAAATCGTTCTATGTACTTCTGATGAAAGTATTTACTGTTGTTTGTTGTAAACAGATTTTATTTTTCTTTGATGAGAATTCAATGAATATATTAATCGAGCCTATGGGGTTTTTCTAGTAGAGAATTTGTACAGACTTCATTATGTTTCATATTATATTGTTTAAAAGTTGTCTATAAATTCACCCTTAATCGTAGACACATATCAACTAGTATCCTCGGTATTAATTCATTGAGTGGATATTAATCTTCTTCTAAGGAAAATTACATTGACATAACGGTTTTGCTCATGGAAACTTTATTTAATTAGAAAAATGATCATAATTATTTAAATGTGTATATAAATATATACTTGTATTACCTAGTATGTTAGGCCTTTGGTGATTCCCGATAACCAAGTAGATAGACCATAGTATCTCGATTCGAAACTTCATACTCACACAAATCTTTTTTTTCTATCTTCAGAAAAATAGAAAATTGCAGCTTGGCATACTCAATAGAAGTTTACATCGATATGAAAAATCTATTCGAAAGACAAATAAAATTCACTATCTAATAAGATCAGTGCTAGAATCTAAAACAGTAGCCATCATGGCTGATTAGCTACGTTGTTTAACACATATCTACAAGGTACTGTGTGCAAACCTCAGCACCATCAGTCTTGTAATGCTCCTGAACAAGTCACTAGCTGTGCATCGTGCTGGTCTTTTGTACTGAGCTACGGCTAGTCATAGTTGTAGGAAGGATATCGGACTATTGAATCTGCCATTAGGCAGCATTCCATATTGAGAGGTAGCAGAAAGGTAGGAAGCATTCTTCTAAAATAATTGTTAAGTACTTCAAAGATAGAAAACAACAATGAGCCATTTAATATGAAACATCCGTTATTTATTATTAATCGTTTAATGACTTACTTGTACTAACTGTAAAAATGAATACAATTATCATTAACGAATCCAACTGTTTGAATCGCAATTCCATCTTACTTGCAATAGACTACCCACCTTAAATGACTGTGAAATAAAATTCAAACAAAATTATAACAGGAAAATATTTTTTTTCTTTTCTGTTACTCTCATTTTTTAAATATAAATTAAAAATAAAGAAATGGAAAAACTTGACGACATACAATCATTTATTGTAGTATGAGCATTTTTCTTTTTTATATTTTAAATTTTTATGACGTAGTTCAATTAATTTTATGTCTTCGTAACACACGCACACATTTACTTGTCACTTTTTTTTCTTTTGTTTCAATCAAACATTTGAAAAAACTTCTAATTTGATGATAATTTTTTTTTCTCATACGACGAAACGCTAAAATGAAGAAAAAATAAGAAGAAGAACAAGGAAACCAATTTCAACTCAATAACATCTAGAAAAAAAGATGTCATAGGTTTATCAAAAACAGCTTTGTTTTCTTCTTAAATAACTTTTTCAAAAAACACAATGTTATGCTATAGAAAAGCTCGAAAAATATTTCATAAAAACAATTATATGTTTGACTTGAACAGTATTGCTGTACTTTATTGATCTTTTAATAGAACATTAGTTTTCTGAGAGGTCTAGGCTATGTAGTCATATCTTAATTGAATTGTTTTTCAATAGATTATTAAAATAAAGTAAAGTTACAATATTTGAAGAATATAATTGTATCAAAAGACGTCTACAGTAGATCGTTTTATAGAATGTGAGAAATAGATCAAAAAAAAAATACGAAAAACAAGTAAACAGTTGCTACATTAATATTTTATTGCCTGACAAAAACAATAGTTGAGCATAGCAACAAAATGAATGAATGATTGCCCATGTCATATATCTGTTCGCATTACTACTGGTGTACTACAGTACTCATAACAATAGGTGGTGATGATGCTTACGACTTGCAATTCCAACTACAAAGTATTGCAGAAAGTGTTTTTCACCCAAAGTCAAATTATTTATTAGACATACCTCAAATCTATCGAGAAAAAGCAATTTCAAAATATATTTTACAAATAAAAAATTTTTGCAGCACCATCTACAATAAAAATTTATTTCATACATGAATGTTCGATTTGGGCTCTGTGATTAGTACAGACGGCTCAGGCGAATCAACATTGTCTCAGCTCAATGAAGACAACTCAGTTCTGTTAATATTAATAGACTTCAAAAATATTCACCTGTTTTGATACACTATACTATAGATGTCTATCGCGGTTGAGAATTTGCCGCTGCCGTGACGCAACACAATATTTTAAAAAAACTTGCCGCTACCGCGAGAGTATTCAAAAAAATGTTTCGATTTTCAAGGTCGTGACTGATTTGAACTAGAACTGCTGCTGCTACTCGATCAGACTTGCTATGTCTTACAATATCACATATATGAACACCGAGATTCTGTGCAAGTTCATATATTTTTGAAATTTCTTCCGGAAAAAGCTGCTGTCGACGCGACACCATCACCATCTCTGCAAGACATTATGATACAACACTTTCAAAAGAAAAGCCAACGGTAGTTATCACATGGATCTACACTCATTTGCTAACATTATGTGTCAACCATCAATACGATAATTATTTAATATGATTTTGTATTTCTTTATTTTCAATTAAAAGACTGTACATACGCAATTGTTCTGAAATAAAATTTTTCTAATTATCATTCAGACTATTAATTTTAATATTTAATCATAAAAAATTTATTTGTAATTAGACATCAAAATACAAAACAAAATGAAAGCAATTGATTAAAATGAATACAATACTGCATTGACTTGTTTTCATATAGCATTACATCTGACAAACTAAATACGACGAGACAATACAAATAAAGCCAGTAAAATATATAACGAAAAATAAAAAGTACATACATAAATGTATAATTTTACATATCATCAAATGATGGCAAACCGAATTCGACTGGATTAAATTTAAGAAGACTCTCCAATGTAAGTGTAGTATGTTCAATAACCAATGGATCATAAGTACTTAATGGTAAACTTGGTACAAGTATAACTTTCATTCCAGCAGCAAGTGCAGCTTGTACACCATTTTCTCCATCTTCAAATACTAAACATTGACTCATAGATAATGGTGGATTAGGAAATTTTTCTGCACACGCTAAAAATACATCTGGTTCAGGTTTTGTTAAACGTATTTCAGTTGCATCCGTACAAACAACTGGATCGAATAAATTAAACAATTCACGATGACCACTTGTTTTTAACATATATAATTCATATGAAGAACCAGTACCAATTGCTAGAAAAGAATTTGGTTTAAAAAAAAAATTTTTTTTCGGTTTATTTTTTACCTATTGGAATATTATGAGCTGCTAAATGTTGAATAAGACGTTCAGCTCCAGGTAAAAGTTCAGCTGATGGAAATGCTTCTTGATAAAATTCATATGATTTCATTAAAAATTCATCATCAGTCATCGGTAAATCTAATTCTCCTAAGAAATAGAAAACAAATATATTTAATTTTTCAAAACAAAAAAAATTCTAATACATACGTATTAAAATTTGTCCTACTTCTAATGATGATTTTCCCATCATGTGAACTTTTGTTTCTGTACTAAAATTCTTTCCATATGGTGCACATAATTTTTGTAAACATTCAGTATATATTGATTCTGTATCTAATAATAGACCATCCAAATCGAATATACAATGTGTAATACTCATTCTTTTTTTTGTATAGATTTTAATTAAAATATATCTAAAACAAAATCTGATATACTGATTTATTATTAAAAAAATGTACTTTTAATCATAACAATTAAAATCAAATCAAATTTATATTCGATATTATTAAAATCTAATAAAATAATATTTACGACTTTATCATTATCGAGAAATATTAAATTTGTTTTCCGACTGTGCTTTAATTACGTATATAATAATCAATATCTCGTCCTTCAAATGTATTATAATAGAAAAAACAAAAAAACATAGTTACTCAAAATCCATATAAATGTTTTTATGTTGTTGTTATTATAATAATATCGGAATATTTTAATAATTGAAATAAAAATTTGATATTTTTCATAATTATTATTCTGGAAGCAAAATCAATGATTACATTTTATAAATATTTCATAACATAAATTTGTTCACAAACGCCATCAAACAAACAGATAATCAAAATTAATATAATCACAAAAGAAACAAAAAAACAAGAGATTCATATAAATGAGATAAACGAAAATATGAAAGACAAAAATATTTCTTCAACCAAATAGAACATCTAATATCATCATTATCGTAAATCCACCTAAAGGAAAATTTTTTTTTTGCGCACACTAATTAACTATATAAAGCAAGAGAGAAGGCAGAAACACCTCTAAAACCTTTGTCAACTTCTATAGAATACCTAAAAATATTTGAATATGAAAATATCTTTTGAATTAAGCTATATATCTAATAGGAGTTATCAAGTTCGAAAAAAATCGATATTTGATGTCAGCGGAAATAATAATTCTTATTAGATCCTCTACCCTCATAACAATACCATGGGGAAATATTCTATTCATAAAAATTTATTTACTTGATTCGCTTCTATGAGATGCCATATATTTCTTTCTAGAAAAAAAAAAAATATTGTTCTCATGAAGTTAGATGTTTCAAGGCATAGCAGACGGTAAAACTTATTATACCATGTAAAACAGATGCTTTTGCGAAACATTATATTTATACGCTTCAACATGAATAGTTTCAATGAAAATTTGCATATACGTATGACTAACTATTACAGATGTTATCACCAAATTACAAGATATTTGCAAGCTCTATTGAAGAAATACTGAATATGGTAATTCTATTTTTGAAGCAAAGCATATAAAAACTGCAGGAAAAAAAATGTAAATTGCACTCTTAAAAAATTTATTCTTCTTTATAAAGTTTTAACAGATCATTTTTTTTTTTATCACAAAAATATATATAAGTAAGAAATTTAGATATTTCCATTGATTTTTATGTGTTCATTCAAAAAGTAAAACTACCATATTCAGTAATTCTTTTATATTTCTTCAACTATTTTAGAAATTGGTGATAATATGCCTAATAAGTAGTCACACGTATATGCAAATTTTCATTGAAATCTAATCATGCTAAAGCGTATAATATAATGTTTCATAAAACGTCTGCTTTGCATAATATGTGGAACTTCACTATTAGACATATGTTGAAGTTTTTAACTTCACAAGAACGACATTTTTTTTTTCTAAAAGAAAAATATATCATCTTATAGAAGTGAATAAGTTTTCATGAACAAAATTTTCCTGCAAGGAATTGTAAAAGTAGAAGACTTAATGAAGATTACTGTTTTTGCTAACATAACATGAGCAGCAAATATCGATTTTTTTTTTTGGAACTTGATAACTCCTCTTAGATATGACCTAATCTAAAAGTTATTTTCATATTCAAACATTTGTAAGTATGTTATAGAAGCTGATAAAATTTAAGAATATGTTAGAAGTCTTCCCGTCTTAATATACATACCCATGACGCACCAAGATGATATAGTTCGATGTTGACTTTTATATATATATATATATATAAAGAAATTTTCAGTTATTTTTTAAAGTGAAATAGAAAATCTAACTTACGGAGTTATATTTGGTATAATTTCGTTAAAAACAACAAAAAGCATTGCACCAGCTGCAAATGAAAGTGAAAATGGCAGCAGACAATTAGCTAATTGCACAAAGTAAACACCAAGAAGTCCAGCTATTATTTCAACTAAGCCACTTAATTGACCATACCTATTTTAACAATGTTGATTATATATATAGATATCAATACAAAAAGACATTTGAAACAAACCAAAATGCTTTGAAAGTTCCTATACCAAATGATCGTAGAGGTAAACTGACTGCCAATCCTAAAAAATAATTATTTGACATTGTTATCTTATTGTCAAACAAAAAAAACAAAAAGAAATCTTTATCAATGAATAAATATTGTCGGTAGACAATTGTAATCTATAACAAGAAGCAATGACATCCGTAGTGAATATAAAGAAAAAAATTCTCGAGCTTTTATATAAAGGAAATAGAATCTATAAAAATAAAAAATAAAAAATAAAAAAGAATTCATATTTCTCATTTTCACAATTCAACATTCTCTTGCGAATTGTCTATAATAAAAAGATCTTTTAGATCTTATTATAACATATTTGACAGTAACTATATTCATCTATCTCCATCAAATGACATGAGAAAAGCAAAATTCTTGTATGACATCTTTTTTTTCTGAATATACTTCTTATAACATAATTTCACATATTACAAGAACAATAAGTCAGCTGCAGGAATTCATTCATATTCAATTATTTTTGATGTTGAAAAACATACTTTAATCTATTTAATGACTTGAAGTATTAGATTGACAGTATCATTCAAAGACTACTTTCTATTATTAATCTTTCTCTTCTGTGACTATTCTATCATAAGTAAATATGCGCTAATTGCTTTCTTATTCTTCATCAATTACTGTGAAGAATACCCTCGTTTTTATGACGAAGAACAAAAGAAAAACAGTAAAGAAATAAGATAAATTATATAAAAATAGACAAACTTGAGATATCCTAGTGTGCGGAAAGAATTCAAATGATAACAAAAGTATTAGTCGATATTCATTGATAATAAGTCATAATTTATTTTTTTCCTATATAATGCATTTACTTTATTATTCATCTAATACTTTTGTTAATATAATAAATATTTATATTTATAGAAGAAAAAGAGAAATAGAAAAAATAATAATAATAATAATACTAAAATGAAGGACAAATGTTTAAGACATTCATTCGTTTATAATCATCGTTGACTTTTTTCTCCGACTATTGCATTTTGATATATACATTGAATCAACTCTGATTATATGATTAGAAATAAAAATCAATTTGTTTCGCAAATCAAAGATAATTTTATAATATCTCAATGACCTTTACAAAATTGATTTAGACTTTTAATTCAAATAATTTTTTTCTTTTTCTTCTATTCATTCATTTTTTTTTATGATTCTACCTTCAGGAAAATTTTGTATACCAATACCAATTGCTAAATTTCTAAAAAAAAAAAACATAAAAAAAAAGAAATCACTTTCATATTATTCACCTTGCATGATTAAATGCCAATGTTGCATTGTTCGACGATGGAATGGATCCAAAACCAACACCAACAGCCATACCTTCTAGAAACAAAAATTTTTTAAATAATATATATGTATATTTTTCTTTTCTAACCTGGAAAATTGTGTACAGTAACAGCAATAATAAGTAAAAGTAATCGATGCCATTTTGTTCGTTCATCTGTTTTTCTATCAATGTCGTTAATTTCTTCAATTGAATTATCACCATTAGGAAGATCACCTTGTTTCATTAAATCTTGACTATGTTTTAAACGTTCACGTACAATAGAATGTGTTTTTAAATTTGATATATTATCTTGATGTTTTTTTAATTTTATTTCATTATTTTTTTTATTTGATAAATATTGAAATGCTTGTTTTGATGTTATTGATGGTAATAATAAATCAGCCATATAAACAAATAAAGCACCAAGTAAAAAACCAATAATAATTAATAAAAAATTTAATTGAATACTAATATAATTTTGTTCAAAAGCTATTTTAAATGCTGGTTCAAGTAAACTCCAAAATGATGCTGCAGTCATTACCTAAGAATAAGTTTCAAAAAAAAAAAAAAGTTACACTCATTTCTTTATTAATAAATATACATACTCCAGCTCCAAAACCAAGACTATAATCAAGTAATTTTTGCTAGACAACGAAAAAAAAAGAATCATTATTAAATAATAAAATAATTTATTATTGTTATCTAAACATACGTTGCTTGAATGAAATATAAATACCAAAGAAGCACCAAGTGCTGTAACAAACCATGTAAATCCAGTGCCTGGAAAAAAAATAATAACAATAGTTCTTTCTAAAATAAATTTGATTCATAAATATACCTAAAAGGCATTGAATAAATGGTGATTGATCACGCAACATAAATAAAGGAACAATTGTCTATTCTTTTTTTTTTCTAAATATTAATCAATCCATATTTTATTCATTGTATTCAATAATTGGTCATCTAATTTCACCAATAAAAAACGACTGCACGAACAAAACAACAAAAGCTAACTAACTACATATATTCTATGTGATTATTAAACAACAATAAAAAAAAAGAAAAATGAATGAAAATTCATCATCTCTTGATTTAAGTACATTATGGGTTGAATGTAAAAATCCTAATGGTCGTGTAAGTAGATTTAATTTTTTCTTATACAAATTAAGCAAAAAAAAATTTCAAAAATTTTCTATAGATTTATTATTATAATGCTAAAACACGTCAAACCACATGGATAAAACCTGAAGGACAACGTGTTATGTCACAAAATGAACTTGATCAATTACTTGCTAATCAAAATGAAACATCAATTAAAATTGTTACACCAATAAATACAGATACAACTGATGAAACAACTGAATCAATAAAAAAAGATATTCAATCACCAAATGATAATTCAACAACAAATTATAATCCATATTCATATCCACCACCATCACTTGGTATGCCATTTGGCACATTTCCACCACATTTAATGCCACATATGGCGCAAATGATGCAAAATAGTAAATTAAAATTCATTTTTTTTTTGTTTATTTTATTTGAATATTTATAGATTTTCCTGGTTTTGGTTCTATACCTCCACCAGCACATTTACTACGTTTTATGATGCCACCATTTTTAAATCCATCTAGTTTAACTACAGGAAAATCTTTAGAAACACTTCATACAGAATTAAAAAAAGTTTGACTTTTTTTTCTTTAAAAAACAAAAATTTTTTTTTTTAAATTAATATTTTTTTTTTTTAGTTACGTGTACAATTAAAAGAACTTGAAGATAAAATGGAAAAAATCAATAATGAAGCATCGGTTTGGTCAGAATTTAAAAATCCTGAAGGACGACCTTATTATTATAATTCGAAAACAACTGAATCAACATGGGACAAACCTCTTGTATTAAATGATGTTATTGGTATATACAAAAAACAGAAAATTGATCATTTATCGGATTTTTTATTTTTCCTATTTTTTTTTTGAGATATTCAAAATCAACTTGAACATGTAAATAAAACAATTCATGAATCGGAAAAAGAAGTTAAACGACTTGAAACAGAACAAAGTCAATTAGCAGCAGCAGCAGCAGCAGCAAATTCTAATGATAAACAACAACAACAACAACAACAACAAACTGTTCCGACACCAGCTTTTATTAATGGTTTTACTTTAGAAAAATTAGATAGTAATGAAATTAGACGATTTGTAAGTATTTGTAAAAAAAGAAAATTTAACCAATGTTTTATTCTACGTGAAGGTAGTGTCGTCTCTCTAAAGATTGAGTTGACTTACCTGAAATTTTAAATCGTCGTTCTGGCAGAGAAAATCCAAATAATAAAACACTAGATTTCACTTCATCAATTAAATCATTTCTTCAATGAAGCTCTTATTTCAATAAATGAATAATTCTGTTAGTTTTAACAAACTTAAAAAATACTCCCCAGTTTTGATACAATACTTTCAAAAAACATCGGCGGTAGTTATCACATGAGTATTTTCATATAATTCTATTTCAATAGTTTGATTTATATAGAACTTCATTTTAGGAATAAGATATATTCAAATTAATTATCTTCTTCATAGGGTGAAGTGTCATTGATGGATCGAAATTTAATCGATGATAAAACAAAAGGTAAAGCTAGACCAATATCAACAAAACCAATACCTGGCACTCCATGGTAAATCAAATTGAGAATTTCAATTATGTATCTATTTTTGTTTTTCACTAGGTGTATTGTATGGACAAGTGATAATCAAGTGTTTTTTTTTAATCCAACATCACGTACATCACTTTGGGATAGACCAGAAGAACTAAAAGGTAAACATTTAATTATGAAAGTAGAAAAGATAGAATTTCAAATCAAACCAGGCTCAAGTTTATCTTGTTTGTAAGCGTTGAATTGTTTTTGAGTCGAAACTATATGCATCATATAGATTCTAATAAGCTATGAATACTCGAAAAGAGTTCAGACTAATAGTTTATTGTTGTCGAAATACTGTATTTTTTGTCAGAATACCGTGGTACCACCTTAGAATGAATAAGAGAACTATTTTTCGATTGCGCCTCTTCCAAAACAAGAACATCGGAATTTGTTATTGTACATGAGCAGTGTGAAAAAAAACATGCTCCTACTATAGTCGTATCTTAGGATAGAAGCAATCAAAAGATCTCAAACTTTTACAATAAATTATTCTCATTAAGACCTTGTATCTATACAAAGTTTCAAGTTGAAATTCAAAAATCAGTTTTTCTAATGTTGCTCAGAGGGTCACGACTTTTATTTAAAATATACTGTAAAACTAAAGTTTTCTCCGCAACAATAAACTAAAAGCACGAACTCTTTTCAGAATATTCAGAACTCATTTGACTCTACATAATTCATATAATATTGAATCCCAAAAGCGATTTATCAGTTGGAGAATTTCCGTCGTGAACAATAGAAGAGCATAATGCGAAACAGTATGAATTCAGATCACATAGTAGTTATAGCGTTTTTCTCAGCAAATTGCATTTCGAGAGATGGCATTCTGTGCCAATAGACAAAGAGTACTATATGAATATTCATTGTTGAAATGCTTCAGTTTGAATCATTAATTGTTCAAATAGTATTTAGATTACAGAATAAACTACTTGGAAATCCATAATATCAAGAGTGATCTAGTAGAAGTATGTACTCATACTCGACGAACTACGTCATTTTACCGGATACGACGTTTTATTAAAAATGTATACTGTTAAACACTGATGTATATCAACTATTCGTTTTTTATGAAGACTAATGAAGTAAATAGAAATTTCGATCTTGAAGTCCGTTAATTCTTTTCGTCAATTATTATTTAATATATTTTCAAATTTCTAATATCTTTGATCAGTATAAAACAGATATTTTGATTTAGTTCATTGTTTTTTTTTTGTTTTAAGGTCGAATGGATGTTGATGAAATGATTCGTGCAGCAATGCCACAAGATGATTTAACGAATACTAATCGAACAATAGCAACAAAACAAAAATTAGATTCAACTCCAGATGAGACAGAACCTGAAGCTAAAAAAATTAAGTAAAAAAAAACAAAAGAAAACATCAAACAAAATTTATTCTTAATAAATCGTTTATTTTCTCATTCAGATCAGATGTAATTTCAACAACTATAAATAATCTTAATGGTAATGAAAATCATGATAATGAAACAAAACTTATACAAAATACAACTGAACGTTTAAATAATACACAAGAATCTAATTATGAAACAGAAGCTAAAGCAGCTAAACAACGAGAATTAATTCCATATGAAACACGTATTAAACAATTTCGTGAAATGCTTGCTGAAAAACAAGTTAATTGAATTAAAATTTATTCATTTTTATATTTTTATTTTCATATAGGTTAGTGCATTTGCAACATGGGAACAAGAAAAAAATAAAATTGTCTATGATCCACGTTATTCATTATTAACAGCTAAAGAACGAAAACAAGAATTTGATCGTTATACACATGGTTAAAAATTTTTTAAATAATTTTGATGGAGAAAAAAAAAAAGAATTTTCTTTTTATTTTAGAACGAGCTGATGAAGAACGACGAGAAAAAGAAGCTAAACTTAAATTAAAAAAAAAAGAATTTCGTGATTTATTAAAAGAATCAAATGTTTCAATTAAGTAAAATTTATTTCAAATTTTAATAAATTTATTGTTTATTGAACTTTTTTTGTTTTTTTTAGAACAACGTTTAATGAATTTGCATCACGACATAGTAAAGATGAACGTTTTCGTGCTGTAGAAAAAATACGAGATCGTGAAGCATGGTTTCATGATTATATACAAGAATTAAAAACACGAGAAAAAGATGGTTCTAGTCGTCATAGTGAAAAAGAAAAAGTAAGAATTTACTATTCTTATCAGTAATTCAATGCAAGTGCAAAAACAAAATACATAGAATTGTAGAGAATTTCGAGTGCTATTAAAATGTATGATCATTCTTTCGAAAGAAAAATACCAATTACATCTATTAGTTGCCAGGGATATATATATATACATCTTTTGTCGGCCTACGCAATAGGGTGCAATTGCTTTCCCTAAATACAATTATGAGATGCAATGAAAGATTATTGTTTCTTCGCTGATATCTCCCTATTCGGATAATTAATATAGAAAGCCTGATACGCAGTACTAGAAATTTGTTTTATTCTATTTGGATAGCTAAACTTTTGTCACATATATCTGGCATCTGTTCCTGTTACAGAAGTTGAAGGATAATTCATTAATATCATATAATTAGAGATATAGAAAGGATAATCTTCTTTATTTTATAGTCTTTTTTGATCTTTTACAGCTTGAATATAGATCGAATAGTACAGCAATTGTGAATATAAATGAAAGCATCATATTAGGTGGAATTAATGATACAACATCAGTGCTACGATCTTAAGAGTGTAGGGATTAATCTTCATTGCAATCACCTACATCCCATTAGTCAAGACAAGCCATTTAGAAATACATAAATTGATGAGAGAAATAAGACTACTATGCAATCAAAATAACATTATATAAAAATAAATCAGTTTCATCAATCATCGAATAATACTGATCGTAGTCTTGGTATTTGGTCATTCCAGAAATGATTTATCATAATGGAACCAAGGCTTCAAAATTTTCATATTAGATATGGTTCACTTTTCTTATAAAATAGCACTATTATCTTCAAATCATGGTAGAACAGTCGAGTGTAAGGATAAGAGCAATAGGTTAGCAGAATAACAAAGTTTTCTAACCTGTTACGTTGCCTTCAACGGTTCTATCATGGTTTATGGCAAACTGTTTGTTATGTGTATTAAGAAAAATAAAACAAGGGTTAAACTAAATAGTGACGTAAGTCGATGAAATGTTC